CATATCATGTCACTATTATTTGATTGCATGTGATGTTTATCATGTTTTTGCATCTTGTTTACTTAGAACGACGGTAGTAAATAAGATGATCCCTCATAATAATTTCAAGAAAGTGTTCCCCCTAACTGTGCGCCGTTGCGACAGTTCGTTGTTTCGAAGCACCACGTGATGATCGGGTGTGATAGATTCTAACGTTCACATACAACGGGTGTAAGACAGATTTACACATGCACAACACTTAGGTTAACTTGACGAGCCTAGCATGTACAGACATGGCCTCGAAACACAAGAGACCGAAAGGTCGAACATGAGTCGTATGAAAGATACGATCAACATGGAGATGTTCACCGATGATGACTAGTCCGTCTCACGTGATGATCGGACACGGCCTAGTCGACTCGGATCATGTATCACTTAGATGACTAGAGGGATGTCTAATCTGAGTGGGAGTTCCTTAAATAATTTGATTAGATGAACTTAATTATCATGAACTTAGTCTAAAAACCTTTGCATAAATTTCTTGTAGATCAAATGGCCAACGCTCATGTCAACATGAACTTCAACGCGTTCCTAGAGAAAACCAAGTTGAAAGATGATGGCAGCAACTATACGGACTGGGTCCGGAACCTGAGGATCATCCTCATAGCTGCCAAGAAAGCATATGTCCTAGAAGGACCGCTAGGTGAAGCACCCATCCCAGAGAACCAAGACGTTATGAACGCCTGGCAGTCACTGCTGATGATTACTCCCTCGTTCAGTGCGGCATGCTTTACAGCTTAGAACCGGGGCTCCAAAAGCGTTTTGAGCGACACGGAGCATATGAGATGTTCGAGGAGCTGAAAATGGTTTTCCAAGCTCATGCGTGGGTCGAGAGATATGAAGTCTCCGACAAGTTCTATAGTTGTAAGATGGAGGAAAATAGTTCTGTCAGTGAGCACATACTCAAAATGTCTGGGTTGCACAACCGCCTGTCCCAGCTGGACATCAACCTCCCGGACGAGGCGGTCATTGACAGAATCCTTCAGTCGCTCCCACCAAGCTACAAGAGCTTTGTGATGAACTACAATATGCAGGGAATGGTGAAAACTATTCCTGAAGTATTTTCAATGCTGAAGTCAGCAGAGGTAGAAATCAAGAAGGAACATCAAGTGTTGATGGTCAATAAAACCACTAAGTTCAAGAAGGGCAAGGGTAAGAAGAACTTCAAGAAGGACGGCAAGGATGTTGCCGCGCCCGGTAAGCCTGTTGCCGGGAAGAAGTCAAAGAATGGACCCAAGCGTGAGACTGAGTGCTTTTATTGCAAAGAGAAGGGTCACTGGAAGCGGAACTGCCCCAAATACTTAGCGGACAAGAAGGCCGGCAACACTAAAGGTATATGTGATATACATGTAATTGATGTGTACCTTACCAGTGCTCGTAGTAGCTCCTGAGTATTTGATACCGGTGCCGTTGCTCATATTTGTAACTCAAAGCAGGAGCTGCGGAATAAGCGGAGACTGGCGAAGGACGAGGTGACGATGCGCGTCGGGAATGGTTCCAAGGTCGATGTGATCGCCGTCGGCACGCTACCTCTACATTTACCTACGGGATTAGTTTTAAACCTCAATAATTGTTATTTAGTGCCAAGTTTGAGCATGAACATTGTGTCAGGATCTCGTTTAATACGAGATGGCTACTCATTTAAATCCGAGAATAATGGTTGTTCTATTTATATGAGAGATATGTTTTATGGTCATGCTCCGATGGTCAATGGTTTATTCTTAATGAATCTCGAACGTGATGTTACACATATTCATAGTGTGAATATCAAAAGATGTAAAGTTGATAACGATAGTCCCACATACTTGTGGCACTACCGCCTTGGTCACATTAGTGTCAAGCGCATGAAGAAGCTCCATGCTGATGGACTTTTAGAGTCTCTCGATTATGAATCATTTGACACATGCGAACCATGCCTTATGGGCAAAATGACCAAGACTCCGTTCTCCGGAACAATGGAGCGAGCAACCAACTTATTGGAAATCATACATACCGATGTGTGCGGTCCAATGAGCGTTGAGGCTCGCAGAGGATATCGTTATGTTCTCAGTCTCACTGATGACTTGAGTAGATATGGGTATGTCTACTTGATGAAACACAAGTCTGAGACCCTTGAAAAGTTCAAGGAATTTCAGAATGAGGTAGAGAATCAACGTGACCGAAAAATAAAGTTCTTACGATCAGATCGTGGAGGAGAATATTTAAGTCACGTATTTGGTACACACTTAAGAAAATGTGGAATCGTTTCACAACTCACGCCGCCTGGAACACCTCAGCGTAACGATGGTCCGAACGTCGTAATCGCACTCTATTGGATATGGTGCGATCTATGATGTCTCTTACTGATTTACCGCTATCATTTTGGGGATACGCTCTAGAGACAGCTACATTCACTTTAAATAGGGCACCATCTAAATCCGTTAAGACGACACCGTATGAATTATGGTTTGGGAAGAAACCTAAGCTGTCGTTTCTAAAAGTTTGGGGATGCGATGCTTATGTCAAGAAACTTCAACCTGAAAATCTCGAACCCAAGTCGGAAAAATGCGTCTTCATAGGATACCCTAAGGAAACCATTGGGTATACCTTCTACCTTAGATCCGAAGGCAAGATTTTTGTTGCCAAGAACGGATCCTTTCTGGAAAAAGAGTTTCTCTCGAAAGGAGTGAGTGGGAGGAAAGTAGAACTCGATGAAGTACTACCTCTTGAACCGGAAAGTAGTGCAGCTCAAGAAAATGTTCCTATGGTGCCTACACCGACTGGAGAGGAAATTAATGATGATGATCAAGGTACTTCGGATCAAGTTGCTACTGAACTTCGTAGGTCCACAAGGACACGTTCCACACCAGAGTGGTATGGCAACCCTTTCCTGGAAATCATGTTGTTAGACAACGGTGAACCTTCGAACTATGAAGAAGCGATGGCGGACCCAGATTCCAACAAATGGCTTGAAGCCATGCAATCCGAGATAGGATCCATGTATGAAAACAAAGTATGGATTTTGACAGACTTGCCCGATGATCGGCGAGCGATAGAAAACAAATGGAATATTGTTTACTCCCTCCATCCAAGATAAATTATTGATTACTCCCTTGATCTAAGATTAAAAAGCCTGTGGAATATTGTTCTAGGACCAAGGCATGCATATACATTAACTTACTTTGTGTCATACATGCAACCAATAAAGGCAAATTTTAACATGGTCCCTCTTACCTCCTGTTTTCACAAGGGAGTTAAGAAGGACTTACTCAGAAGGACTACTTAATGAAATAAACGGCTTAGATCTGTTATATACTATTACCGCTCATGTGAAAAGAGGCGGTTTGTGGGAGAAAATCAATTGGCCCGGCCAACAGCAGCGGCGGCCTTCTTGCGCTGGCAGATTGGGTACGTGGCACATGGCAGGGTGGCTCGATCATCCACGGGCGTGGACCCTGAGCTGATCAATATTATGATGCGGTGGAGGTTGAGCTTGTGTTGACGCTTGGGTTGCTGTGCTCCCATTCGCTGTCCAGGTCGCAGCCATGTATGCGTCTAGTCATGCTGTACTTAGAAGGAGGTGCAACACATGCAGACTTCAGGTCACTGATGGACATGAGGATGAAGAGATTGATCAGGCGGTATGTACATCTTCAGCTACAACGGTGACCATTCTTTCTTGAAGGTGATACTTCTGTTGTGGTGTGCATATAGTTTCTCTACTTGTTAACTAGTACTACTTGTTCTTTCCCCTGCCAGCTTCTACAGGCGACAAAGCAACAAAACTAAACTGTATTCACCATGAGCTCCTGTGATCAGTGACCGAGCCTAGGCCACGCACGCGTGTCGCCAGCAAGAGGCATTACATGTCCTCCTGATTAGGCTCGTCTCAATTGCCACTTGACAAAGTGCCGGTGAGTGATGTATCTGGAAAAGAACAACACAAGATACCCTGGTAAGAGTTCACCAAACACATCGATGCAAGTGTCTAAGGAGCAACCACTCCAAAGACTAGCATCGTTTTGGGTGTCAAAAAGGTTGTGTTACCCAGCCTACGAAGAACTCCTTTTCGGACCTTGGGCGGGCACCTTCTTCTGAATCCAATGGAGGATCCCCATCTTTAGAAAACCTTGAAAGCTCTTCCGCGACTTTCCTCAAGGTGTTCTCTTGAGCTTTCTACAGGCCTTTGGCACGTGCATCTCAGAGCTGCTTAGTGCATCGATCTGTTTATTCAGTTTCAATTCAGGATTAGAGAAAGAAACCGACCACTTTGCAATGTGATAAAACGTTAGGAGGTAACAGGTTAACTGTTGAGATTGAAAAAAGTAAATAACCTGAGGAATAACAACCGGTTCTGCATGGGCTTTCAGAGGAATAATCGTCATGGACTTCTTTCCTCTTCTTTCTCTGTTTACAGAATATCAATTGAGGACATCAACAGTGTGTGTAGTCACAATCCTCAGGCCTCCTGTCTACAAGAACAAACGACACAAGTCAGCAGAGACAAGCAGCTACAAACAGCTTACAGTATTTCCTCCCTCTTAAATTTTGCAAAGCAACCTAAAGAACAAAAACAATATGGCAGTCTCATAGTTCATCTGAGAGAAACCACCTCAAGTTCTCATGGATAGGCTTGTCATAAACAGATAAATAATCAATTTAGCTTTGGTCAAGCTAACACTGAAGAGACATGGTTTTACTCAGTCCATCCTACTTGAGAAAAGCATGGTCTTACTTATGTGAACTCTCAAGAGGCACTTGGCTGCAGGCAAGTACACCCCCAAGAGTAAGAGGCTAGACAATATGGCAATAATGCCTAACATTCATCTGTCACAGTTGACAAAAGCTCATTCAGATGAGTGTAAGGCCGTAAGAAAAATGTGAGAGTCGTTCTTCGTTTGAGCCAGTCAACAAGACTTGATGTAGTGAAAATTAGAAATAAGATGAATTACAGAATGGGAGATAAAATGTAGCTTGGTTATTCATTTTCTTATCCGAATTCCTGGTACACCCTTTAACCCCATCTTCAAGGCGGTTTTCCTAAACAGCATCGGAGGCTTTTCCATGCCGATAGAGACGCCGAACCTACTAGCCAGGTCAGCAAGCATGACTTTGTCTCTGCTAATATCAGCTATCGAGTTATAGTAACCAAGCCATGCATGGTATGCGGCTTCCTTGATGCTCATGTCAACAATCTTGATCGAATCATCAACCTGCGGTACAAGAAAATTCAGGAAAATAATCAGACGAGAATGTATGCATATAACGCTGAAATGCAAAATATGAACAAGTACGCCAGGTCAAACCTTTTGTTTCATCTCCTGATCAATCTGTGGCACAGGAGCCTTCTGTATTGGAAGATCATGTATCTCCTTCAAGAAATACTCTTCCCATGGCGCAATCAACAGAATTCCTTTCCCGGATTTACCTTCTCTTCCAGTCCTTCCAAGACGATGAATATAATGCTCTCTACCAGGAGGAACGCCAGCCTGATAAAATCATAATGTGCGGTTAGAGCAGCAATGGTGAAGACAACCATGCAAAGTAATGGCATTAAGGAGATAGCTGCCACTCCTGCAGTTGCTTTAGTCTAGGCAGATAAATGTTCTTGCTCAGAAACTTCCTCAGCTGTATTAACCATCAAAAAGAAAAGAAATTCTACCTGAATCACTAGAGTAACATCTGGATAATTCACTCCACGTGTTGAAACATCTGATGTTACCAGAATCAGACGATTGTTATCCCGGAACTCTTCAGAAATACGTGTTCTGTAAAGCTGAGGCTTTCTTGAATGTATCTCTCTGACATTTAACTTCAGATCTCGAAGCATTATATACATAAATTCAGTGACCATGGCAGTCGTGCAGAAAACAATCACCTGTGTGCAATCGAATGACATTAGTAATTTAATAAATTGCAAATTTACGAGCAATCATACTGCTTGATCGAGTGATAGGGGCAGAGGATGGAGGACCTTATAGTCCACTTCCTGATCAATATGCTCTCGAAGAAGGCGATGAACCATATGAAAGTGCAGTTCATGTGGTACCACGAGATATTGCTGCTGCACCTAAGCTCAAGAACAGGAGACACCAAGAGGTCAATATTCCCCCAGAGAAAAAAAATCATATAACAGATAAGAGTAGAAAGGCTATCACAGGATTATAATATTTTCCTTTGAGATCAAATTCGTTCAGAAGTTCTGCTTGTGTTTCACACAAAGTGAGGTAATGAAAAACATTTTTTATTTATAATGTTTATGTAAATGTCGACATCTTTTGCATTACAAACTCCCATTGAAAACTGAACTAAGTGTAAAACTGTAAATGGCAAAATGGGGTCCCTTCTTTAAATAGAATGACGCAATATAACATAATGGCATTAGCAGAAATACTGCCTACATCTGGTAAGGGAAATACAAAGTGAGAATGTCAATCATAACACTCTTTACTTGCAGAACCCAGAATGAAACAAGTGCTTTGCAGGAGCTACCAATGGAAGATTACTCTGTTTGTTATTGGTGCCAAATAAATATTACTGGAGTATTAGGAGTGGAAATAGAAACCTTAGTAGGAGTTTCAACAGCTCCCAAGCCCACTGTATCAACAAAAACATGATCCTTGTTTAAAACCATCTGTGAAACCCTTCGAACCTGCCAATAAAGAATGAGAACCATCATTCCCATTTTCAGACCACTGGGCGTCCATAAATAAGGTAAATATAGATTATGCTACATGCTACCAAGGAAGGCACTCATGCTACATGCTATGCTGACTACATTACCTCTTTTGGAACAGTAGCTGAAAATAGTAGTGTCTGTCTTTGGCGCGGCAAGCTATCAGCAATCTTCTCTATGTCTTTGCGAAAACCCAAATCTAGCAAGTGGTCAGCTTCATCCAACACAAGCAATTTCAATCCCATCAAGCGGACAGAGAATGAAGACCTGTTTTCAATATGATCCAGCAGCCTACCAGGTGTTGCCACTAAAATCTGAAAAGGGAAAACCCAACCATATTATTAAGTCAACCCAGCAGTTAGGAGTTTAGACTTGATCTTTAGTAGCTCAGTAAATGCTACAAACCTGGCATGGATCAGACTCTAACCGTCTCTGATCAAGCTTGAATCTGGTACCACCAATAAGAGACTGAACACCCACTCCATGATGGTACTTCACCAAAACATTCGCCTCAGCTGTAACCTGGACGGCAAGCTCTCTTGTAGGGCATAGAACAAGGGCATATATTGGAGACACTCGATGATTTGTATGGCTCTTCATGGCTTTCAAGACTGATTCAATTGCAGGAAGCTGTTTATCAATTCATTGCTTTTAATAAATTGGTTAAGGACAACAAAACCGAAAGGAACAACATCCCAGAGTAACTTCTTGCAAATGAACATTACCAGAAAAGCTACACTTTTGCCGGTTCCAGTTTTGGCCTTGACAAGAACATCTTTACCTGCATTTAGAGTTTTAGACAGTGTTGAGTGAGGAGCAATCCCCTGATCGTTGCAAGGTTTCAGTGGTAGCATCTTCAGATAGTTCATGCACAGCCAAAATGGTACTACTGGAGTCAAGTGCTAAATACAAACTACTGAAGTCAAGCAACACGTCGCATGATATTACCGCCAAAAGGTTGTGATTCTTTCCCCGTGATTCAGGAAATTCGTTCACGAGGAAAGTGAAATAAGATATAATACCTTCGAGACAAACTGGAAGAGCTGCTTCCTGGACAACAGTTGTCTGTATATATCCAGCATCAGTGAGTGCTTTGACAGTAAGTGGGGAGATGCCACACTCATCGAATCTGAAGATAAAACAAGAACATGAATTGTGATGCCAACTCATCAAATCTAAGGGAAAAAGAAATATCATAACTTGTCGATAAGATGGGCACAATCACTATTGCAGTGTAGGATGGTGTGTGATTTGAAGAAGTTAATTCACCGATCATTCATTAATCTTGAGTTAGAAGGCATGTAAAAAGCAGGATGTGCTACAAACATTATGTCTATCATTTGCATCACGGGTGGCCAATTCTTATTTATAGACCAGTGCCTGACTAACAAAAAGAAACTTCATAAGGGGGCAACTTCGGTGACTCATATATCAAGAGCCACACATTTCAAGTCTTCTTAGTTGATTTTTCCTAATTCAACCATGCAGACACTACTTCTTACAAAGTTAGCAGGCCACACAACAAATGAGGCAATTGGTTACGAGGAAAATAAACAACATCAGAGATAACGGCGAGAGTGTAACCTTTTATTGGTAAACACAGATTCACCCCTTGACTCGTACCGCCTCCTCTCAGCACCCAGCACCTCCCTGTTTCTTATCTCCTCTCGCAGCTCTTGGATTCTACCAGTGATATCATCATCGCTTTCCTCCTCGTAGGACTTGAGCGGTCTCCTATCTCTCTTCATATCACAGTTCCTCAGAGCAGCAGTGCTCCATTTCCTCCTGATGGCGCTCGTCTCCCCCGGTTCATCATCTTCCGACTCATCTTCCCTCGAAGCCACGAATTTTGCCAACCTCAGATCCCTAGCAGCCGGCATAACCTCCTCATCCTCGTCTGATGAATCCGGCCTCCATTTCTGGCCAAACCGCCGTGGGGCTGCTACAGAGTACAACCTCTCCTGAGTATAAAACAGAGCCAACGGTGTCGCCTTCCTGCCATTCCCAGCCTCGGCGAGCTGTCTAGCAACCAACGGCATCAGCGCAGCACCCGATTCCCGGCACGGCGAGCATGGAGGCATCACCGAGTAGCATCTCTTCGGACCGAAGAAGCCGAAGGACGCCTCCTTCCTCTGCGAAGGCGTGCCGGAGCTCGGGCTCCATTGCCACCACCAGGGAGCGGCCGTCCCGTACCCTCTCCTCTGGTTGAACGCGGCGGGCAATCGCGGCTCATTTCCGGCTCCCCTTCCCGCCGTCGGCTCCCCAGAATCCAGCTCCTCCCAGTCCTTCCAGTCCCCTCCTCCCCGGGGCGGCTTCGGCTTCTCCCCTGACTCCACCTGCTTCCAGTCGACCATCCGGGCGCCGGACGGCAGGCTCCTCGCGGGCTGCTGCTGCTGGTGCGGGGGGAGCCGTGCCCGGCGTAGCGGGCCGTCATCGTCGTTCCAGAGGTCCTCGGCGCCAGGGCGGAGGAAGCGGTCGGCGAGGGCGCGGATGTGGGCGCGCGAGGAGGTGGGGCCGGCGTGGTCAGCGGGGGAGGCAGGGGCGCCTGGGAGGTGGGAGGCGCGGATCTCGGAGCGCAGGCGGGCGAGGTAGAGCTGCTTCTCGTGGCGGAGCAGGCCCCGCTCCTTCCCCCGCGCCAGCTTCTCGTGCATCCGCTTGTGCTGCCACTTGGACAGCCCGCCCGGGAACGTCCGCGGCCCGCCCCCCATCTCGGGCTCTTCTCCGGCGAAAGGTTTAGTCGTCTTTAGGCTGTGTTTGGTTGAGCTGCGGATTCTGAAAAAGAGTATGTGAAAATGCTAATTGACTGTAAAGCACTGATGTGTACTACTACTACATTGCCCGGTAATTCAACGATCATTCCCTTCTTCAAAGGAGCATTCAGTTATGAATGAAGCAGTGCAGAAATAATGGCATCATACATACAGCTTCAGCTTCAGTAGAAGAAGATGGACCATACAAAATAGTACTACAACATAATCCCAACAAATCATCTACTAATACTGTACGTACATGTCATGCATACAAGCAAGCAATAGACGAGTGCAGTTGGTTCATGCAAAGGATTTCACACAAGCACGTACTGACCAATACATGAAACAAGAGTTTGTTAATCGTATCAGACAATAGACGAGTGCAGCCCGATGCGGCGCGGCCGGCCATTCAAGGTGGTTGGAGGAGGGGCAGGTGGACCACTGGCAGAAGGGGAGGGAGGGAGGGAATGGGGAGGGAGGAGAGGTACCTGGCCGGTCGCCGGAGGGGTCGGGGTCGGCGGCGGCGGCGGCGGTGGCTGGGGCGCCGGGGAACCCTATTCCCTCCACCTGCCTATGGCTGGAGGCGTTCGGTCGTGCGGGTGATTGGACTCTGGCTCCGGACTCGCTCAAAGGGCGGCCGAGATGGGCCTGGGCCAGCCCACGACCGCGCCTCTTTCTTCTTCC